TGATTGGACCAGATGATCTTACAGGTCTTTTCCAGTCTAGGAGACTCTGTGATCCTGAATAGCTGTGACAAGCCGAGGCGGACGCTCACGGCCCCAAACTACCCTGAGCCGCCTTTGCTGCTGGGAGTTCAGGTCCCCGCACTCAGCTCAGCGTAAGTCTGTAAGTGAGCAAAACCTCTTCTGTATAAAAGCTGCCTCTGAACCTGCTGATGTCCGTCAGGTATCGGCTCCGTCCGTAATGGCTCTCTGCCTTTTCTCTGCCGTGGGTAAATGTTTTCCATTTTTGACCCAGGCGCTACTCAGCGTCAAATCTGAGCGGTGTTGGAGTTTGTAAGGCATTGCAGTGTCCTCCGCAAGGAAAAGTGTTGTGTAAATTGAAAAATGTGCTCTGGGAAGCAGTGTTTCTCAGTGAGGGATGTGGTACAGCCCCAGGAAGGACGTGGAAGCTGGGAAGCAAGGGTCCCTCTTATCCCTTTTAGTGATTTATGCAACTTTTCTCCACCTTACGGCATTGTCCGGACTTGTTTTTCCAAGCCCCAGCACTGAGGGGAATTATAACTGTCCCGAAAAACGGTCTCCCAACGCAATCTCTGCCGAAAGCAGAGGCCACCAACCCCGCCGGGGGTGGGGTGGGAGAAGGCTCTGCCGTGTTCCCGGCCGCGCTCTGCTCTGCCCGCTGCGTGAAGCGCAAACCCTGCAAACTCGGGGGGGAGAAAGCCACAACAATGGGCCTTTTCTTCACCCCGGGGAACGAGGCGGCCCCGCTGCCGCGTCTCGGCGCGGGGGCTGCTCCCCGTGTGCCGCTGTGTCAGCGGTGAGGCACGAGGAGGTTATTCAGCCCCCGCCGCCCCCCGTGGGCAGCTGTGTCTTCCCTTCAAAGGGTGTCTTCTGCTGCTTTCCTCGCTCAGGGGCAAGCTTCACCGCTTAACCGAGGAAGAAATAACGCCCGTTGGTTTGTGGCTGTTGTCACAGCATCTTTTTCTGCGTGTTTATCTGGAGCCCGCTGCCCTGCACGGCTGCCCCGTCCCCGTCCCGGC